GAGGTTTAAGAGGTAATAAATTATTGTAAATGATTAAATGGTGAAAGTCTTGTGGATTAAAAGTCTAAACAAGAACACGAGTGCCCGGCGCTATTTTCCAATAAATGTTGACTTTGGGTGGCTATCACTGCCAAGGGCAGCCCCCTCTGATGTCCCCGAGGGTTAGTCACAGCAGTCAGCCGCTTTTCAAAAGGCCTAAGTTTCTTAAGCGGAACAGATGGCGAGGGGCAGGGCCTGGACGCCGAAGCAGATTTATCTTGTCAGGCTGTTACCTCTTGGGAAAGGACCTTACTCGAGTCACGTGACAAGAGTGTGGTTCAGAGGTCTCCTGAAGGTCATGGCCATTCATTACCTCCTTCCGCCTGGCATAGCAACGGCCCCTTTTGGACGGCTGTGTAGCCAGTTGTTTTAGTTGTTGTTGGTGGTGGTGGTGGTGGTGTGGGTATGCGTGTCTGCAGGACTGTGCGAATCCTAATAAAGATGTTACAAACCTTCAGAAATATTTAGTTGGTTCACTATGCTTGTGAAATATTTTATTTGAGGGCCAGAGATGTACTCAGTGGCACAGCACCTGCCTGTCAAGCGCAAAAGGTCCTGAGTTCAATCCCTGGTACTGGGAAAAATAAAAAATAAAAATGATAGAAATACTACTTTGTAGGGGGAAAATGAACCAATTCGGCAGGAAGCCAGCCTGAGGGTCTGTCCTGCTGGGGAGCCCTGGCGCCCTGAAAGGAGCTGTGGGCAGAGCAGCCCCCCCACGCCCAAGCCTCTCACTTCACAACCACAACACTACTGGCTTCAGCACCCAAGAGGCCGAGCTGGGAGAAACGTGCAGTTCTGCTGGGCTGGGGCTTTGTTTTAGAGGCTGTGCTTTCAGGATGCTCTTTATTTGTGTGCGTGTGTGTGTGTGTGTGTGTGTGTGTGTGTGTGCCCTTTGCATTTTCTTGCATGAAACTTTTCTAAGTTGTCCCAGCTATAAAGAGCTGACGCTCTTGCCCTTTCAACACAGGCAAGGTTGGGTGCAAGGCCTGGCAGACCCCACAGTCTGGGAAGGGCTTCCAGGTCCAGCTCCAGCCTGGAGACTGGCCATGCAGTCTCCTCAAAGGGATGACACCGCCTGCAGCAGCGGCCCTGATTGTCTTTTCTTGTTTATTGGGTTTTCCAAATGCACTACTTTGTCTAAAGCCGTTTTCCCCAGTTGCTTCCCCATAAAAACGCTCATATTTCCATGGACTTCATTTTCAGGCAACAGAATCCCTGCTAATCCATAATATAGATGCAGGATCTACTACAGCAGTGAGCTCAGGGTTTTCTAGCTTGAGTGAAGGAAGATTTGGAGGGACAACGGCTAAGGTTTGCCAGAAAACATCCTCAGACACATCCTCATAATCAGGAATCCCAAGGGATGGCAAGTATACAATAAAGACAAATTCATACTAAATTGGATCATAGTGAAAATGCAGAATAGCAAAACAATGATGTTAAAAGCATCCAGAAAGAAAAGACAAAGCCGGGCGTGGTGGCGCATGCCTGTAATACCAGCACTTGAGAGGCTGAGGCAGGAGGATCGCTGTGAGTTCGAGACCAGCCTGGGCTGCATAGTGAGTTCCAGGTCAGTCTCAACTACATAGTGTCTCAAAACACTGAAAAAAAAAAAAAAAAGAAAAGAAAAGAAGAAAAGATAAAATTCATCAAAGGGAGGACAATTAGTTTCAGCTGACTTATCAACAGTAACAGTATATGTTATTTTGGCCAGGGATTTAGCTCAGTGGTTCCGCCACCTGCCTCATAACCGCAAGGACCCAAGTTCAATTCCAGGTACAAAAAAAAAAAAAAAAGACAAAAACAAAACAGTTTATGTTATTTGAAAATGGGATATCTTTGAATAGCTTAGAAAAATAATTAACAAATAGAATTATCTATTTGAATCTAGAAATTCTATGAAATTCCCTATTACAAATAAAGGAATAAGGACATTTCTAGATAAACTAAAGCTAAACATTTTAACACAGACCTTCACTGAAGGAAATTTAAATGTATTTTAGGGAAAAAAAAACCAGAATGAAGACTTAAGATACAAGACATAGCACTGAATAAAGGAAATAGCAAGCAGAAAGTTTATACTGAACAGACGTTGACCATTTATATGTTTTATAACAATAAAATAATGTCTAATCCTAGGAATAAAACAATAAACTCAGGAAGAATAGTATATGACTTAGAGGGTAAATAGATTCTATGGTGGTTGTATTACTAAGAAGAATGGCAAAAATACTTATTAGACTTAAATTTTGATAAATTATACATATTACATTTTTCATTATAACCACTAGAGACTAGAAATAGTGCTTATACCTTCCAAAAAGGCAAAAATAGAAAGAAAGAAAAGAATTAATAAAAAGAAATAAAAGAGATAACAATAACTCTTGACTCTCAAAAGCACTAGAAAAATCCTACTAGTAAACACACTCAAAGTAAATAAACTGAGTTCTCCATTTAAGGAATGAGGCATATCTGAATAGGTAAGTACCCCAGTCAGCCACACTCTGGTTACATAAGATACATTTAGACCATGAAGACTCTGAAAGGTAAAAAACAAAATCAGGAGGAATGTAAGTATAACACTAACACAAAGTATTTACAGCAATAGCAGATACAATAGTCTTTGAAATGAAAAGCATAAATTGAATTACTAGACATAAAGCATGCCAACAGAAAGATATAAAAATGTGTATGTTATGTAGTAGTATAGCTTCAAAATGTATACATCCAAAGCTGACATATGAATAAGGAAATAAAAATCCATCCTAGTAGACCTTATGTAGTATCTTGGTAGTCAGAATATCAATTAGTCCAAAAATCAGTAGGTATATAGAATATTTAAGCAACATCAACAATTATAGACTAAAGGACAGACACAGAAGACATAATTGCCTAACGATGTTTTCAAGAATCCAAGAAACACTTAGAAAATTTAACAATATGTATTGCGATTATATTCTTTTGTATGTGTGGCATAATTTAAAATGTTTTATTTTATTTTTTGGTTTTTTGAGACAGGGTCTCACTATGTAGCTGAGACTGACTAGAACTCACTATGTAGCCCAGGCTGGTCTCGAACTCACAGCGATCCTCCTGCCTCAGCCTCCAGAGTGCTGGGATTACAGGCGTGTGCTACCATGCCTGGCTTTTAACATGTTTTAAAAGTGTGGAGTTCCTTGTGGCACCCAATGGGTTAATATCTGCTCAAGTTGTCTCAGGGCACCAAAAACTGCAGACCCTGCTAAGTTGGATCAACTTGAAGATAAGCTGTTTTACCAGCTCGGACAGAGGCAAATCTTGCTGATGAAACAATAAGAAACATCACAGGAACATTTTGATAAAGTTAACAGTTCGGTGTAATTTTCATCATGCTTTTCTAATCTGAAATATGCACCTGTGTAGAATAACAAAAGCAACTCTAGGCAAAAAAAGACAAGGTAGGGCTATTATAAGCCCCAAATGAAACTATACTAAAAAGCTACTGGGGTCAAAACAGCATGCTACTCCAAAGAAACAGACCTGAAGAACAACAGAACAGATTAGAAGATGCAGAAACAACTCCAGACACACTCAGCCACCTCATCTTTGACAAAAGAGCCAAACACCGTCACTGGAGGAAGGATATAGCCTCTTTAATAAATGGTGCTAGAAAAACTCAGTTTCAGCTTGCCAAAGATTAAAACTAGGCCTATATCTCTCACTATGCACTAACCTAAAATTGATATGGATTAAAGATCTAAATATTAAAACAGAAACACTAAACCTGCTAGAAGATAGGTTAAGTAAAACTCTTGAAGACATTGGCATAGGCAAAGACTTTATGAACAGAAACTCAGTCACATGGGAGCTAGCACAAAGAATTAACAACTGGTATCTCATTTTATTAAAGAGCTTCTTTCTGCACAGCAAGAGAAACCACCAACAGAGCGAAGAGACAACCTACAATCTGGGGAAAAAATTTTACCAGCTGTTCCTTGGACAAAGGTCTACTATCTAGAATATATAAAGAACTTAACAAATCACACACCCCCCAATTTTAGTATATGTGCTGCCGAAGCAAGCACACCCCCACCCCCCACAAATTCAAAGACCCAGTCCAAAACTGGGCACTTGAAGTGAACAGACATTTCTCAGACAAAGAAGTAGAAGCAGCAAAAAATGAGAAAAGAAGGCAAAACAGAAACAAAGCTTTTGTAAACAGGGAGGGATGGGAAATGAGGAAAAACAAGAACCAAGATATAACAAGCACAGGTACAAATTCCCCATGACGAATGTGATCGGAGTGTACACCTAAAATGTTCCAATAAGCTGAATGGATTTTAAAAAAAGATAAAATATGCACTGAGGCGCAGCAGGACACAACGCCTTTGATAAAATAAAACTGAGAGGTGGCAAAGTCATTTCCAGGTTTCTTCCCAGAGAATCCCCCTGACCTCTCCACAAAGATATTTTTTCTCTCTTGTGTCTTCATTCGTCTCTCTCATCAGTTTGTTGGCCCGAACCCAGCAAAAAAAAGCAACATATTCATTAAATATGCTATATATATTGGCGGTCCACACTGCATAACGATTCTTTTTCAAGAATCTAAGAAACTTTTAGAAAACTTAACAATATATTGTCAAACGCATTGTTTTATTTCCTTATATTTGTTTTGGTTTTGAGATGAAGGTCTCCCTGTGTTACCCAGGTTGGCTGAGAACTGTTAGGCTCAGGCGATCCTCTTATGGGCTCACCCAGAAACACGCGGTTTGAAAGGCAGTTGTAGCTACCCAAGCTCTCATAGCATTTTTCTGTCCTTCACAAAAGTGGCAGCGTTAACTTTTGTGTATTCTAGTTGTAAGTACTATCTTCCAGGTAGCTAGTGAGTTTCCCTAGGTGATTCATTGACCTGATTTTTAAATTTGATTGCCCATTAGTCCTACGGTGGTTTACACCAATTGGAGAGAGAGCCTGCTTACCTGTCAAGGTGGGACATAACTGTTTGCGAGATGTCTGCGCCAGCTTCTTGCAGTACTCGAATAATCTGAAACGGTGCACTCGGACTCTGGCCAGGATGGATAATTACAGGGCAGCCAAGCTGCGCCTGCGCGTGCGCTGTGGCCTGGAGAACCTTCCTTTCACTCTCGGTCAAAGGCCAGGAGCAACCGATTTCTCCGATAACACCGCACTTGATAGTGGTCCCATCGGCTCCATGGAGAATTTCATTAGTAAGGACCCCAGTAAGCTAAGGAAGAGTGAGGAGGAACATATTTTATAGATCACAGAATTCATCATGGTAAAAGAATGAATTTATTTATTTATTTAGTCGTGTATTGTCCTAAAAGCGTGTTGACATTAATGCAATTAGTATTGGTCAATGAGTAGGGTATTTTGCTGGGCAAATTCAACAAGTTATTCTAGACTCGAGATTCAGTTATGTCTTACTGTGATTATTGAACTAGAGCTTCAGAAGTCTAGGAAGTTCCAGGGGTGGGGGAAAGCGACTTTCTGAGCCTACACTGAGCTTGAGGAAAACAACAACAACAACAACAACAACAACAAACAACTATAACAATGTGGGAGTAGCATCTATGAATGCCTCTGAATCTCTGTCAAACACACCCAGTAATTCTTCAAGTCTCCCTTATCTAGTCCATCTTTGCCCTACAGAGCACAGAAAACTCACAACACACAATATCAACGTTATACACTGTGCCTCAATTGCACATCAACACTAAGACTGGTCTGAGAAATGTTAATGCTCACCATCACCCTAGTCTTCAAATAAGTTAAAATTTTTTTAATAATCTCGATTGAAAATAATAGTTTGAAACACAAATCATTTTAAATTTTAATTGACCCTTTGGAAAGATGTCAAGTGACATTCTGTGCCTAATAAAACAGGCCATGAAGGATACACAGGAACAGGTACCTATATGTATAAATACATGTAAATACACATCTGTTTGGATGAGAGCAAAACTTTGCTGCTTCTTCTTTCTTTTCGTCCATGAAAGTTTCACTTCCTTCTGCTCATTCTTGATTAAGATCATACTGTTTAAAAAAATGAAAACAGGGCCGGGGATTTAGCTCAGTGGTTCGGTGGCCTGCCTTGCAAGTGCAAGGACCCGAGTTCAATCCCCGGTACCCAAAAAGAAAAAAAAAAATAAAACAAAAATGAAAGAATAGATTTTCCTTCACCCCTCCTGTTTTGAAAAAAGAAGAAGGAGGAGGAGGAGGAGAGGGAGGAGGAGAAGGAAGAGAAGGAGAAGAAGAAGAAAAAGAAAACATATTTGCAAAAGGGCCAACTCTCTGCATGCCATGTTTTACCCTACAGTGAGTTTTCATCGCTGGTTATTATAAACCCTGACGTCTATGATGGAAAAGTGAGGGTTACCAACAGAGGGGGGCACCACTGCGACATATACAAATCAATTAGCCAGTAACGACCGACTGGTGCGCTCAGCTCTCCTTCCTTAACGCTTTTTCTTTTCTTTTTTTGGTACCAGGTATAGAACTCGGATCCTTGCGCTTGCGTGGCAGGCGGCGGAACTACTGAGCTAAATCCCCGGCCCTAATGCTTTTTCTTTATGACGTGAAATGGCACTAATTTGGATCCCACCTGGCAGATGTCTTGGAGGCTAGCGACTTTCTGTACCATGCTCAGCTGCTTCTGAGCCGATGGCATTTCCAAGATTTAGGTTATTCTGAATTTAAACACAAAGACTGTCAAAGAACTTGGGACTTTTTACCTGCTCTACTGACGTGGCTCTGGTCTCTGGAGAATGGGTCGCCCCCACATAGAATCCAGCCCCTGCTATGACGTGGACTCCAGTTTGCTCTGCCAGCCACTTCAGGGTCTGCATGTCCCTTCGGATGCCAGTGGTCGTGTTCTCCACCACAGCGCCCCCACCGTTAGCTTTGAAGTACAACAACTCTTCCTTAACGGCTTCGGTCTCCTGGTGCAGCTGAAGGTTCTCTTTATGGGAGTAAGGGTTTTGCTGAATCCAGAATAAGTTTTTCATCAGGATAGGTCCCTTAGAAGTGGCTTCGTGGCATGGAGGAGGTGGGGAGTAACTGCAATCATAGGCCATCGTCAAATGTTCATGGGTCAGGGTCCGGCCCAGTTTGCTTGGATCCACCAGGCCCAGAACAGTTTGCACTTTGCCACTCAGGGAAGACATTTCTGATGGTGCCGCCAGGATGTGCTCTAAAAAGAAAACTATAATCAGAAAATCTAGCACATCACACAGGCTGTCTAAAAGGATTGGGAGGCTGTGAATGCATACCTGTGTAGGAAAGAGAATCAACAAAACTAGAGACATGACCTCGTTCTCCAACCTGTCATTCAGAGTCTACCCCCACGCAGTTCTGAGTGACAGGCACGGAACTATGTGTCCCCCACCCTTCCACAGGGACTCCTCTACCTGATTAAGTCCCAGCCTCACTCGCCGGAAATATTTCTGTGATATTCAACTCTCATTAGAGTTTCACCTAATTTGATCTTATTAGTTATAACTATACTTTCTTGGGTAATTCAGTGATAATCATTAAAGAGTCTTCATAATCAATAACACCAAAACCAGTCATGAGTCAGTAGTACTGTTTCTAGAGGGGCTAACTAATTATTCTACCACTCATTTGCAACCCAGGTGAGCAAACTTCTGTTGAAGGTCCACATGTGCCAGACACTGGAGCTACAAAGAAACGAGAGGAGAGATCTCGGAACTGCATGGTTTCACCAAGGAAGTCCCCAAAACAACTGGGGTGGGAGGAGCATGTCTAAGGTTCTTAATGTAAAAAACGACAAGGACAAAAACAGAGCCCCCCACTTAAAATGGTTTATTGTCCAGGCCACATAGAAAGGAACACTTCAGAAAGGTACTTAGAGGCAAAAAAATTCTTAAGCCATAATGAAAGCAACTGCAATGCTATTGAAATTGAAATTGCTGTCTCTAAAAAGAGCAAGGACCTCTTTCTCCTTTATATACTTGCATAAGTATTCACCAAATTTCTCTGACTGGGCAGCAAAAATCCCAGTTTTAGCACTTGTGCGTTAAAAGCACATTCCCTAAGTGAAAGGGTGGGGCTGATAAAGAAAAAGGCTGTTGAAAGTGGTGATTGCAAACACCCACCTGGCCAAGACCAAAACCACTGCCAGGAAGCTCTACACTAGGGTCAGCTGGCCTTGGTCAGAGGATGGTGGAAAAAACTGACCAGGAGCTCAGAAGAAAAGAGCATCTTTTGAAATTCTCAAATTGTTCCTGCACAAGACTTTCTGAAATCATTATTCCCCCCATATCTCTTTGAAAATGTGACATTCCAAGAATCTGTTTTCTTAAAAGTAAATTAGAATAACAATGTACATTTCAAAATTTGTCCTAAGAATTACATGAGATACAATGGGTAAAAATACCTGTTAAAATATTATGCACACAGCCCATGCTCAACAAATAGTAGTTTTGTTCTAAAACGAGTGCTAGTGCTAAGAATTATTTTGTACTTCCTGGGTGACTTCCTTTCACAGGAAGTGGCTGATCAGAAAGGAGATGATTCAGAAGAGGGTAGCAATGAAAGAGTTTTTAGTACGACAGTGCACTCAAGAAACAAAGTGAAAATAAAATCGCAGGTCAGGAAAGTGTTAGAAGATTACACACTAATTTCTATCCAGCCATAGCGATTATCTTGAGTTCAGGTGTTTGAGAAAGATTGGCCCACAGAAGCGACCAATTTTAATGTTTGTCAGAGAATACTGGTATTGTGGCCGATGTCACTGCATTTTGTTTAGAAGTTCTGTTCTGCAAGTCGAGCTTTCTCCAGGTAGGCCATTCACGTGGTGGCCACAAGGAAAGAAGATGGTTCCTTCTCAGAGGATCTCTACACAATCAGTCCCTACACAGGGCAACATTTTTCACTGAGGACATCTAGGAACTTGCTGTCCAAGACTTAATTCCTTCTTTCCAGGAGCACAGAGGATGTATTTTATTCTTTCGGTTGATGGAACCACAGCACCCTTAATAACAGATCCTATCCTCCCTATGGTTCAATTTGCTGTTTCCTTCCTTCCGGCTGACAGTGTTACAGATGTGTTCTGGAGAGTCACAGACGGGCAGAAATTAGAATACATTGATAAAACACTACCACTTCTACTAGAAAAGTGCCAAACTTCATATTTAATCGATGTACAATTGAAATAGCAATGTGGTATGTTTCAAGCTCACAGGCTGTGAGTCTGTAAAAAAAAAAAACTCACTTAAGAAATGCCACCCCTTCTGGGAGATTCCTCTGGTGCCTGCACTCAGAGCAGGTTAGCTCTTCACAGGATCACATGCAACGTAATCCACACTCACAGGATAAGGAAAGATTAAAGAACAAACTATAGGCAACACAGCTTTAAACTGGAGTGCATCTTTGAGTGTGGGGGGAGTATGCATCTGGTATTCATGGTTACTTTACTGCTGAGGAGCCCTCTTCTGCCTATATTCAGCCTTGGAGTTGTTCTCTTTTCAAAATGCAGAGAGAATTCACACAGCTAGGAGGAGGGAAGTCCTGAGCCATAGCCGAGCAGACAGAAGTGACCATCAGTGCAACAGGAGGCTTCTGGCATCTTCCAGAGCATCTATAGGAAGCTTTGGAATGGCACATTCTGTGGCTGGTTGGGAAAGGGACAGCTGGAGCGATAGGCACAGTTGTCCAAAGCTCTGTTGCACATCACAGAGGGGAAACTGAATAGTCTGAGAGGACAGTCTGCAGCTACTCACAGAGCCTAGCCAAAGGACACAACCCTTCAGTCCTGATGAGTCTAGGATGAAAAGAACATTTAAAACAATGGATAAGAGGAAGAAAATCAGAAGCAGAATAATACTACTACCGAGCAATTGGAAATCAGAGGCCACTAAGTAGGATTTACCTATTTTTTTAAAAAAAAATGCACGGGTAAGTTAACTTTTATAAAATATATAGAAGATTTCTCTAATTCTTGAAGAGGGAAGTGGGTAACTTGGAGGCAATTTTATGCCAGTGTCACAGAGATTTTTGCCAGTTATCCTTTCTTGGCCATTATCCTTAAGATAATTCTGTCAACCTACGTGGAATATTCTTCTCAGCTGCCTTTCGTGTTGCAATGGAAGGGCTCCAGAACTCTGAATGTTTCACACGTGAGCGGGTAGGATATCTTCTACATGCACCTACATGCATACACCATCCTCTCTCTGCAGATACATACTCTCCCTGACCCTGATGCCCCTGCACTGGTCCTGTAGCTCGTTGAAGGTATCGTCTTGCAATTTTAGATGCAACGTGCAAATCTGCAACTTGACTTTTAATGCATCTTCAGTCCACTTCCCCAAGTTCTCCTATAACTTGCTCTATTTCACTCATTTATTTCCCTGAATAATGGCCCTGCTACCTCCTGGTGATAACACCTGGGAAGGCAGTTCCAGGTCTAAGGCAGAAGATTTGAAGGGAGTGCCCCAGAATTCATGTGAGGAAGGAAGGAAAGGGAAGCCGGCTGTTCCTACAAAAAGCCCAGGAGGGTTGTTGCTACAATCCGGATAAAAAATCAGGCAGTGGCTTGGTCTGAGATGACATCAGGGAAGAGAGCAAGAAAACACAGCCCTTAAAGCTGACATCTGATTCGTGACAAAAATATTTTAAAAACTGTAACATTTTTTGTTTGAATACTTCCATCATGTAGGTTCAAACTTGTGACACATCTTCTCCCCAAGCGTGGGAATCTGGTGGCTGAAGAAGGACCACACTGGGGGGCCCTCCTCACCACCACCTTTTCATCGTCCCTAGGCATTTATGGCAAAACAGTCCCACACCATGCAGATTTATAACTTTTAATATTAAACACTGTCAAAAACATCAATAATCATACTGGAATAAAGAGAAAGAAATCCAACCACGTCAGTACACAGAACAATAAGGGGGCCCAGCAAGTTCTTCAAACTGTGACATAAATAAAACAAAACTGCTCGGGATACAACGAGCAGTTTATGTCTTAAACTCAGGGGAAAATGGTGGATTTCATTCCCAAGCTTTTCTTTTTTTTTCATTTGACTAAGAAATAGACAGACAATCTGGGGATATTAAAGCCACAAAATCCATCAAGCTACTTGACTGAATGGATTCAACGTGTGGCTTGACTCAGGTGACATAAATAAAACAAAACTGCTCGGGATACAACGAGCAGTTTATGTCTTAAACTCAGGGGAAAATGGTGGATTTCATTCCCAAGCTTTTCTTTTTTTTTCATTTGACTAAGAAATAGACAGACAATCTGGGGATATTAAAGCCACAAAATCCATCAAGCTACTTGACTGAATGGATTCAACGTGTGGCTTGACTCAGTGCACATAAATATGGGCCATCTGGTCAACTCTTGAAGTCTCTCACACACTATGGATTTTAGTAACTCGCACTACCGGCTCCTTGAAATTTTGTTTTGTTTTGTTTTTTACCCGTTTGGTCAGTCCCTGTTTAAAAAAAAAAAAAAAAAAAAAAAAAAAAGAAAGAAAAAGAAAGGAAAAGAGGGAAGGAGGAAAGCAACGGGAAAGAGAGGAGGACAAAGAGAGGAATTAAACTGTCTCTGCTGAGGTCAAAACGCAACATTACTCACTACTTACTATCCTAAGACTTTAGCCTTGGGATGGTGAAGTAATACTGTGTTGAAATAACTGACGTTTATGTTTTCCTTTAATATTGTATGTCTCATTTCAGCTTTTCACCTTAGAACAAACAAGGATCCACACTCCAGGGAGTGACAGGGTTTGGGATATTTTCTTGATTTCACCAAATGTGTACGTCTGAGCGCAAGACACAGACCACGTTAAAATTTCCAAAAGTCTTTTTTCCATCACAGAGAATTCTCCGCCCTGGAGTTAGTCCTCAGCTTTTCATGGACGGGATTTTCTGTCGCTTAGATTCCTAGCAATAGTTTGTCTCCCAGAAACAGCAGTATTTTCAGCAAATTGTACAGCTGGTTCTTACCTGAATTTGGTCATCAAAGAACTCCACATTTTTTGCTAGTTTTAATTCCTGCCAAACCAACAATTAATGTCTGAACATTTAAAATATCTGTATTCTTTTACAATTACGTTTAAAAGTCTATGTTTGTTTTGTTTTATTTTGTTTTCTGGGACGTATTGGGGACTTAAGTCAGAGCCTTATGTGTTCTACGTAATCTCTCTACCGCTGAGCTGCATC